ACTATATTTCTTTGTATAATTCCAAACAGATATTGCATGATTCATATTTTCTGTATTTACTCCGTTGTCCATGAAATATTTTAAAGCTTTTATTAAAATTTCTTCATCTTTATTTTCATATTTTAATCTTCTTCTTATTACTTCCTGTACTAATTTATGTATACTAAATGCCGTACCTTCTAAATTAATTATTGAATACTGTTTTAATAATAGGATAGCAGAGCCTACTTTGTCCTCACAGTCTATAATATTTACAAATATTTTTGTAGATATATCTTCAGAAGCTAAGTAAGATGCGATACCTAATATTTTTAAAGCATTACTACCATTTTCACTTTGATTTATTATATCAAAGGTAATATTCCAAGTTGTGACTATTGTTTCAATATAATCGGTACTCGTGCCTTGACTTTCAAAACATCCTACCTTTTTATTATACTTTTCCAAATAATTGTCTATTTTAAACTCTGAACCCACAATTTTTAATTTCTCATCTTCTGTTTTTATATAAGATACAGTTTGTTGTAACGCTAAGGGAAAGTAATGTAATTTCTTTGCCAACACTCTAATAACTTTATCTTGTACATCAGTTTCTATTTTAAGGGATTTTTTAATGAATTCTATAGCTTCGTTCTCCTTAAATATATCTAATTCTAATATGTGCACATTACTTGGCCAATATTTATTGCGAGAAGTAATTAAAATATATGATTTATTAGAGGAGCATGGTGAACATGGCAAAAAATTTTCTATACCATAATCAAATTCATTCTCACTTTTATATTTTACAGCATTATCAAAAATAAAAATGCATTTACTAGCAGACAAAAGCTTATATACATCCTCAACTATAGAACATATTTTCTTTTCTTTATTATCTGCATTTAGCATGCTAACCCCTAACTTGTCAGAAGCTAATCTGTGAAAAGATTCCACAAGTGTTTGGTAACTTTCGGCGTTTATCCATATAATTTTATTATCATATTCTTGGCTGTGCTGATTGATATATCGTCTAACTAATTCGCTTTTACCTACTCCGCCAAGACCACTTACGCACACAAATTTGGGTATGTTTTCACTCCTATTTTGCAACATGTTATGTAAATCAGACAATTCTTTATCTCTCCCAACAAATGTGCATGTTGAATCTCTGATATTAAACCAAATGAGAACTCCCAACTTGGCTTCTTCCAGAAACTTTTTTCCTTCCTCGAAGGAAAGGAATCTATCTCCACCTTTATCCATCAACCAATTCAACATTTTGCGAAAAAATTTATTATATACATTTTCTGTCGTGATAAGACCAAGTTCTTTACCTATTTCATTTTCAACAATGTTACCAAGTTCTTCTGCGTTAGGTTGGTTAACTGCAAATACAAGATGGTTTAGAAAATCTTTTATCTCAGTATCGGTGTATTTTACAGATATTTTTCCCAAATCATTTGCATAATAATCTATTTTTGATTTTAATAACATAGCTACATCGTTACAAAGTTTGTAGCGTACAGGTTGCTTTTGGATATTTTTGAAGTCTAAGATATCATCTTTGCCTCTTATCTTTTGAATTCCAATTTTTGCTTTCTTTAGGTCTTCGTAATCCCAGTCAATATTGGTGCAAATAGTAACATCTTTTATAAAGCCATTTTTAAACAATTCATTATTTTTAGACTTTTGATACGACATAAAGTATTTTACTAAACTATAATCACCATTATGTTCTGCAAATAAATCACGTGTTGTAATTTTTTTAGATTCATTCAACTTATGTTTAGCTTGTAACAGACGGTAAACTGTTTTACCATTTTCGATATATTCAAATACCAGATCATCAAATTTATCAGCTTCTGATATTTCTGTACCTAACTGAAATGAGTAACGGAGGGAAACACTACGATATAGGAAGAGCATTAACAAATTTAACTGATAAATATTACCATGAATTGGATTATTTCCAATCTTTTGCTTGCTTTGAATTTTATTCTTTTTCCGTGACTCTAATTTCTTAAATGTAGAAAATTCTAAAACCTGATCTATGTTACTGTTACACTGATAATGTTCCGCTACTGCGTTTTGATCTGCAACCTTTGACTTTAAGGATGTTTCTAAAATTTTTAAAATATCTGGCCTATTAAGAGGTCGAACATAATCTATTAAAGTCTCAATTTCTGTCCTTTTAATGTTAATTCCCTGTTTCCTTAAAAGTAGCTTAATAATTGCGTCATTGTTACTTTCAATGGCCCAATATAGAGGTGTTTTTCCATCTGTGTCTTTAAAATTAATATCTATCTCACCATTTATAAGACATTCTACTTTATCATAATCATTTTCACTTATTGCAATAAGTAATTCTCTATTATTGATACTCAATCTTCTTGCAGATTTTCTGTTGAGCATGTTAGATTTATTAAATTTATCATCCGGAGATTGAGACATTTTACTTAAGATTTATTTACATGAAGGAGTAATCAATTAAGTTATTAGTCGTCTTAATAAATAAACAAGATCAATATGAGATATTTATCAATTACATTTAGGTATATTATTTAATTTCCTACCTTTGAATTTGTTTTATAGGTTATAGTATGGTTAATAAGAAACTTTAATCTGGAACAAAATACACAAAAACTTACGGGAATGTACTTGAATATTACTCTAAGTCATATTATTCTTTCGTAATACACTGCATTGAAACACACAAATATGTTCTCCTACTTTTGACACAGCAGTAGTATGTGGAATAAACTAGACGAGTTGCGACGTCAGAACGGATGACTCATTTCTTGACGCGATTGCACTGTCGCACGTCGTGAGTACATCCTCCATCGCCTTAACACTGTCAGCAAACACCCAAGCGTAGCACGCGATTTAACAGTCTGCACTAACTCAAACTAAAAGTACCTCATATTACAAAAGAAAGGACTGACTTCTTATCACTGACACCAAATATTCAGGTATGTCGACCACCTCAGTATGGAACACGACCCAACAGTCCCCATCAACTAAGGTAACTGGCATTATAGGCCTAGAACCTCCAAAGGTGAAGGAAGATTAAGTTTTGCACGCAACGTGTCGCATGTCATTTTTATTCTTCGTCTTCCCATATGCGCGTAATTCGACTTCACATGTATCGATTGTGAATTATCGGGGATCCTACCGACACTATTTTGACGCTTATCGTAGTTAGGAATACTGTCGTCACGTGTTACGCATCTCGTCAGGACCGGGCCCTGTGACATGAGTTAAACTTACGCCTATGGTAACGTCTTTCGTTACCGCGACTGAAGATAGTGATTTCTATGAGTCATAGAAGAGTGGGAACAACGAGCGAACATGTCAGACGAAGTGAGCGGAATATCCCCTTTGCCCCACCGCCGATACATTTGTCATAAAACAATAACGCATAATGGCATTCATCTCAAGTTCAGGCGATTGTGCCTCGCGAAAATACGGCTTTACATTACAGCGTTTCAAGTCACGGTATTTGTAATATTTTAAATTATAATAATTTATACTTATACCAATTAATCAACTAATGTCATTTTTATGAGAGAAATTTTTATTTTTGACGGTGTCACTCTGCATTGGATTTATTTTTGCTTCGAGGAAAATTGATAAGCTGGATAGTTCCTCGTAACTGGCTGTGTGATGCAATGGACTGGTATCGTAGAGCCTATGGGAACTTTGCTGAAGGGTTCGTAAGGTCACATTTCAGTAGTCCAGTATGCATCACAGGAAAACTCGAGCTCCGTTTATACCGTTCAGAAATTTAAAATATAATTAAGAGTAGAAATTCTTGATGAAATTTATTAACCCGAGTTTACCACAAACTGGTCCTTTGTCTCTTAGCATTAGTTTCATCCTGTTGGTACGTGGCGAAATATAAGCACTCTTGAAATTGAACGAACACACTTTTTATTTTACAAACGTACAGATCAAATGTGAAACAAAGGCTACGACGACGACGGCTCGAAAAACAAGCGAAAAACAAGATGGGGATGCTTAGACGCCAAGCTGGGGTGGCTGGTTCGGAGCTCACAAGGAGAATGCAAGTCCTTCGGGTCACCGATTTAGTTGAAACTTTGCAGGTTTTGTAGATATCGTCATGTAGAAAATATATCATTATGGCGGCAACTACCCATTAATTTTTGAGATATTTACGTTTAAAGTTTCATCACTTCTCTAATTATAGATTTCTTGTGGTAGTGGTTACATAGATTTTTAAGTATATATGTTTGGTATAAGTGTAAAGAATGTTTGTGTGGAAGAATATATATGTGTGTGTGTCGAGTATGAGTAGTGGTAAGAGTCGTGAAAAACAGTTAGTGCTTGGAGGACAGTAAACAGTAAAAGACGTTGTGTGTGAGAGAGTCGTGCAAAGATTATATCGTGGAGTGAAGCGTGTCTATTTTTACTAATTCTATTATAATTCTTTTGTTCTGTTATTAAACTATTAAATCAATATTGTTGTTATTTCATCCACCACTAACATTTCTTTCTATCATTTTTCAAGTGAAATCGTGGTCTATCGGCAACAGTCGAGAATTTCTATGCTGAAAAACGGAGGTGTGATTCCCGTCCATAATTGGTAGTTTTTTCAATCGATTTTTATTTTGTGTTCATTTTTCGTCTATGAAAACATTGTAAATAAACAATTGTAAATTAAATTTCTTAATATAAAAATTTATTTTTTACACTTTCTTATGCATGTATATATTTATTACAAAATAATTAGAATATTATGCAAGAAAAATACTTTTCTATAGTTATCTTATTTACTACAGAAAATGCAAAACCTATCACTAATGTAAGTATTAATTATTAAATTAAACATTGTATAAGAATGTTGCCTATAATTCCAACTTTGCTGTACAGTTGTAATTGTTCATGAATTAATTAGAAAAACTTGGAAATTTATTAATTTTCTGTTACCGAATTGATTTTATAAGTGGCGTTGGGAGCACATAACCAGAAGAGGTATCAAGTTTGAATAAAAATTTCACCGTTCGCGATCAGCGCCATCTATGATTTTGGACCCAAAACTCAGAAAAGTAATAGGAATACACAATAGGCGAGGAGGTCGTCGAAGAGCTCGCCACGTGACAGATAAGGACACAAAGGGGATAGAAAAGGATAGAAGGGCTCCGAAAGTGAAAAGTTAATAAATTGATCAATTTCCGCAATTAATTTATGAACTTTTATAATTGCATTGCATAGCTGAAACATTGAGCAACATTCTTATGTAATTTTCGTACATAATTTGTTACGAATTAGCTAGTTATTAATTATTGTTTGATGGCGTCCATGATTTCGTAACGACAACCATCACGATCTTCCGTGAAAATAAATAATACTAAACGAAACTAGAAGCAAAATGTGAACAAAAGTTATACATGAAGATGCCATAGGATGTCCTTTATATAATGCGTGCATGAAGGTCATAATTTGATTACGCAGAAGATAGTAATTAATGAAAGGCCAATGGTGTCTTCGACAATTATTCAAACACTTCGTAGAATAATCATTAATAATTAATTAATTAAGGACAAATTTATATCGAAAAACATATTGAAAAGTTCTTGAAGAATCTGTCTTTACGATGCAATTATAAAAGTTCATATATTAATCACAGATATTGAGTAATTAGTGAATATTCCACTGCCAATTTGATTTATTAAAATATATTAGGAGCACATAACCAGAGTTAGTAAACTGACATCAGAGCTATCTATGTTCTTGTTGCGGAACTCGAGCTTCGAGTCTAAAATCACAGATGGCTCTGACGTTACTTGAATTTTTTAATAATTCTGGTTATGTGCTCCTAATATATTTTAATATATTGTAATAAATCAAATCATAAAGTTTTCTACATTCTTTAATAAATTCAGCCCAAACAGCAGTTTTAATTAGACAATCAGTATTCATTTTTTTACCTGGCAGATGACAAATATGCAAAGGTACGCCTTTACAACGCAATTATATAAGTTCATAAATTATGTTAATACAAATACTTACATTCTTTTCGTGATGCAGGCACAACTGCACGGACACAACAATGCTTCCGGCGTTTATTTGCAATTTTTTTCTCATTTCCTATGCACTCTCCTGTTCACTTGGGGAAAAATTAACAAATCACTCAATTTCTGTGATTAATTTATGAAATTTTATAATTGCGTTGGAAAGGCATAGCTTTGCATATTTGTCGTCTGTCAGATAAAGAAACGAATGCTGATTGTCTAATTAAAATCGCTGTTTGGGCTGAATTTATCGAAGAATGTAGAAAACTTTAGGATTTAGTTTATTAAAATATATTAAAATATATTCGTAGCACATAACCAGAGTTAGTAAACTAACATCAGAGCCATCTATGTTCTCGTTACGGAACACGAGCTTCGAGTCTAAAATCATAGATGGCTCTGATGTTAGTTTACGACAGTCAGAAGTCAAAGACGAAGAATAAGACGGTTTGGAGAGGTCGAATACACAAGACGGTTTGAAGAAGTCACACAGAACACAAGACTGTAGAGTCACACAGTACTCGCTGCAGAGTACCTCGGAATACCCAGATTCACTGCTGTCTGTATTTTCGATTCGACTCTCAATAACGCGTAACTCTCGCAATCACAACTCTCAGTCTCAACTCTCTCAAGGACTACCTCAACTCTCTAATGACCATCTCAAAACTCTCCCTATCTTCCAGAGCGGGCCCTTTTAAGCCCGTCTGGAAGGCAAGAGCCTCCCCCGAAGGAGGAGAAAGCTCCCTCCACGTAACGCTCTGGGGTGGAAGGGATTCCTCCTTCGGGTTAGGCTCTCCGAAGGGTCACCCACGCGGGGCCCTTCCCGAGAGATGCCCACGGACGCGTCACCCCCGGTTTACAATGGGGAAAACCGGGATTGAGCGAGGCTACCTCGCATGGCCTGGCCCCAACTTCCCCAGGCTCGTCTGGCCGCTAGACGCTAACGGGGTCTCTATATCTGGGGAAGTCAAAAAATATCCTACAAGACGGTATTGAGGAGTCGAAGACACAAGACGATATTTAGATCTCGAAGACATAAGACGTTAGCTAGAACGCGAAGACGTAAGACATCAAAACGGTAGTTGGGAGAAAACGGAAAACGGAAGACAAAACGTAAAACGGCAAAGGCGGAGACGATACACCACACACACAAATCACTCATACAACTCATCAAAATGTGTAATAAAGTGTATATACAAGACGAACTGCGCCTTATTACACACCCTAAGTGCTCACTGTCTCGTAAGGGATTCGACACACTGAGAAATAGGGCAGCTACAATTATTATCAAAGGCTCCCTTATCAGCGTGGATCTACAATTCAATCCTTCGCCACGAAACAAAAATTGTTATGCCTTGGAATGTCGTCCCGGCATTTCGTTCGGCCCTTTGTTTAGAATAGACCGTGTGAAGGCTCTGA